AAAGTTCTGTAAGTGGGATGTTATTATTATCCCTCAATCACCAAGAAAAACTTGCTGCATTAGAACCAATTAGAAAGTTTACCAACCACAATGCTTGAGAATAATCTAAAGACTACCTAGGGTACCCATCTAGTGATGGCAGAGGGCCCCCCCCCTTCTTTAGGTATCCAAATCCCTCCTAGGATTCTAGAATCTTAAACCCCCCTCTTAGAGGTGGAAGGTCCCACAGAGTTAGTCTACATTCTATCTCATGCAAGAACGCTTCCAATGCATCCTGACCGGCAGCCATCTGACCTCTACCTGGACAAGCCCAGGGCTGGGAGGCTCAATGTCTCTCTAAGTGCACCCTTCCATCACCAGCTGATATTTAACCTATTTATTCATTTTATTTTATTTTATTTTATTTTATTGAAATGGAGTCTCACTCTGTTGCCCAGGCTGGAATGCAGTAGCATGATCTCGGCTCACTAGCAACCTCTGCCTCCTGGGTTCCAGCAATTCTCCTGCCTCAGCCTCCCAAGTAGCTGGGATTACAAGCACCTGCCACCACATCCGGCTAATGTCTGTATTTTTAGTAGAAATGGGGTTTCACCATGTTGGCCAGGCTGGTCCCAAACTCCTGACCTCAAGTGATCCGACCACCTCGGCCTCCCAAAGTGCTGGGATTACAGATGTGAGCCACCATGCCCAGCCTGTTACTTAATTTAGAATGCGCTTCTTTATATTGAAGTACAGTTGACTTCCCAGAACCATCATCCTCTTCACTGGAGCTTCTATCATCATTCACTTACTCATCCACCCATCTAGTTATCCATCCATCCACTCATTCATCCATTCAATTATTCGGCAGATACCAACTGGTATTTGCTAACATGTCAGGCACTGTGCTAGGAGCTTGGGATACAATGGTAAGCACATTCAGACAGGGTCTCTATCTTTAGGAGCTCAGTCTGGCTAGCACAACAGTCACTGAATAATACAATCTCCTGCTTGATAGTGCTAGAAAGAAAATGAACAGAGTGTTATGAGACCATACATTCTAGGAGCTGCCTCTGGTCTGAAACTATTGGGAGAGGTTTCTCAGAGGAAATGACTCTTATTTGCTGAAAGACAGAAAATGACCTGGAGCTGACAGGTGCAAGGCAGCAGCACTTTCCACCCTGAGACCTCCGCATCCTTCTCTCTTCTGGACTGACCTTCCTTTTGCTCCTCCTCCTGCCACTCTTTCCAGGGCCCTATGAAATGCTCACAGAGGATGAGACCCTCCACATACAGTCTGACTTCCTTTCCAATGAAAGTCAAGCCTGCATATGACTTTTTGGCAGCCACATTCTCTTATATGTGTTGAAATCGTGACACTATGTCTATATTTTCCATTGGACCAGAAATCTCATCCAAGAAAACAAATGTGTAAGAAAATGCATGCAGTTAAGCAAGACCCTCATGGTGGCCCCAGAATGGGCCTTGGGGATCACTGCTCCCTTTCCTGAGGGACTTGCCCTCTGCCTATTGATCTAAGATTGTCACCAGCACCAGGGCAGAGCTGAGTTCCTGGGTCAAACCTGTCTTTCCAGCTAGAATTCCGGAGGAAACCCCAGTCCTTGTTGGGGCTGAAGGTGTTTCCCTGTGGCATCGGAGCCTCCTGACATTCAAAATTTGCCTCTTGTTTCTTTAATGAACCCACAGGAATGTCCAGGGCTTTGCAAAGTGCTTCTCGCAACATCCCCCAGCTCCTCCCAGAGAGGTGGCTGGGATTCTTAACTTACCGATGAGGAAACCGGGACTCAGAAAGATGAAGGTGATAAAGCTGATACTTCAAGCCAAGCCTTCCAGGGTCAACACCATTTCCATGACACCCACACCTCACTTGAATTACAGCATTATGGGGCAACTCACGGAATGTCTAAACAGCCACCATTTTCTGAACACCTATCATGTGCTCTCTCTGCCATGCCTGTTTATTCCTTCTCTGCCTACTGTCCAAAAGACACCTCAAATGTAGCATGTCCACAAAAGAAATGTAACATGTCATTGGTTTTGTGTCCCCACCCTGCTCTTCCCTCTGGCTTCCCAATCTTAGGAAATGGTGCAACCATTCACCCATAGACTCAGGCTCACAGTCAACCTAGAAAGAGGCAGAAAGAGAGGAAGAACAAAAAAACACGGATGGATGGATGGATGATGGATGGATGGATGGATGGACGGATGGATGGTGGATGGATGGTGGATGGATGGATGCATGGACAGATGGATGGTGGGTGGATGGATGGATGGATGGATGGATGGTGGATGGATGGATGGATGGCGGATGAATAAGTGAATGATGACAGAAGCTCCAGGGAAGAGGATGATGGTTTTGAAAAGTCAACTGCACTTCAATATAAAGAAGGGCATTCCTTGAATAAGCACGGACTGACTAGAAAAAAAAAAAGGAAGAAGAAGAGCATGCTAAATGCACCAGGCTGGGCACAGTGTATGCTTATCCTGTAATAAGCTCACGCCTGTAATCACAGCACTTTGGGAGACTAAGGTGGATTACCTGAGCTCAGGCGTTTGAGACCAACCTGGTCAACATGGTGAAACACCAACTCTACTAAAAATACAAAAATTAGCCGAGTGTGGTGATGTGTGCACTTGTAGTCCCAGCTAGGACGCTGAGGCAGGGGAATCACTTGAACCCAGGAAGTGGAGGTTGCAGTGAGCCATGATCAAACCACTGCACTCCAGCCTGGGCAACAGAGTGAGATTCCATCTCAAAAAAAAAAAAAAAAAAAAAAAAAAAGACGGGGGGAGGAAGAGAGGAGGAAAGAAGAGAAAAAGGAGAGAGAGAGGGAGGAGGGATGGTGGAGAGAAGGATAGAGGAAGGGAGGATGAAGGAGGGGAAGAAAGAAAATGAGGAAAAAAGAAGGAAAGGGAAGAGGAAGAGAGGAGGGAGGGGAGGGAGTAGAGAGGGAGGGGAGGAAGAAAGGAAAGGAAAAGGAGGGAAGGAAGAAGGGAGGAAGAAGGATGGAGGAAAAAAGAAGTGAAGGACAAAAAAGGGGTCTGACTTCAGGAAGGCACACAGGCTCGTGTGTACAATCTTCTTTAGCCTAATATTGTAAGTCAATATCCTAAAATAACTCTCCGTGCCTTGTTTTAAACAGTGCCAGATTCACTGTCATTCACAGAGAGTCACAAACCATGAACGTCCCTAAAACAACCATTTTCAGAACAGGAATTTCAGCCAGCCTGCAATGGTGTCAAATTTTCCCAAAAGCAAGAGGAACTGGATCCTGAGCTTAGGAAGCCTAAAGTCTCATCTGGATGATACCGTTCATATCCAAATAGGCATAATACAAGGCAGAAATGGACAAGGACCAAAAGTGCTTTACAGAGGGAGGGCCACGGTGGCCCATGGAAGGGAGGAGCAATCGCGGCCAGGCATTTGGAAAGAAGGTAGCATCTGGGCAGGAACTTTGAAGGAAATGTGGGAAGGAGGCCTAGTGTGTGCTGGGCACCCTCCTCGTCAATCACTGGATCCTATCCAGTGCCGATTCCCACTCTACAGATGCTGAAACCAGGGTTCAGGATAAGGGAGGCAATCAAGTAACTCGCCCAAGCTCATGCATGCAAGGAACACAGAAGCCCCACTCTAACGGAGTTTTAATGCAGGTCTAACATGAGAACACAGGTGGCCACGTGTGATGTGTCTGGACCACATGGTGTGAAATGCAGTCGGCCTCTCGCGGGAAGGTTACTCAGACACAGGCTTTCTTCAAAAGCATGCTGGCACGGCCTCCTCCCTTTCACCTGCACCACCTCCGTCTCTCATTCAAGTCGTACAGCCCCAGCCAGGCACAGTGGCTCAAGCCTGTAATCCCAGCACTTTGGGAGGCTAAGGCAGGAGGATCCCCTGAGGCTGGGAGTTTAAGACCAGGAGGCAACACAGAAAGACCCTGTCTCTACAAAGTATAACAAAACTTAGCGGGCAAGGTCGTGTGTGCCTGTAGTTCCAGCTATTCAGGAGGCTGAAGTGCGAGGATTGATTGAGCCCAGGAAGTAGAGGCTGTAGTGAGCTTTGCACCACCGCACTCCAGCCTGGGAGACAGAGCAACACCCTGTCTCAAAAACAAAAACAAACATAAAAAAAGAGTGGCAGCCCCTTCAGGAAGGGAGAGTTCCTATCTTGACAATTTCAGCCAATGCCTGTGAGCACCAGCAGGAGCTTCTAGCCCTCCCTGCTCCACCCTGCAGCCATGCACTCATTAATTCCCCCTCATTTTCTCCCCACCTACTCCGTGCCAGGCCCTGAAGTGGTTCTAGGGCCGAGAGACACGAATCACAGAGCTCCCCAGTGGGGTGGAGGGTACAGACGTGTCGACAAGGACGATAGGGCCCAGTGTGGGCAGGGGGCGTGTGGAAAGACCTGCAAAGCCAGGAGGAGACGGGGTCCGAGAAGCCTCAAGGGAAGAATGGGGTGAGGCCTGAGCCCCGTCTTGGAAAGCAGAGGGGCAGGTGGGAGAGTGGAAAAGATATTCCTGGAGGAGGGAACAGAACGTGCCGAGTGTGCAGAGGCAAGGAAGCAGGAAATCTTGCGACGGGAGTGGAAAGTCCGTGAGAACGACCGCAGCACAGGATGAGAACGAAGGAGGGGATCAAAGAAAACGGGCCCTCGGAGGCCACGTGCTAGAAGGCCCTGAGTGCCAGGAGAGAGAGCGTGGCCTCCATTACGGGGTCAGTAGGGCCACTGCACGGCTGTAAGCCAGGGGAGACTGGAGAGGTTTGTGTAACTGTAGCTGTAATGATGGAAACGTCTGGAGGCCGAGAGGAAGCTCCTGTGGCTACCCAGGCTTCACAAGAGGAGAGAAGGAAGGACAGGGGGAGAGCCAGGAAAGATGCACAGAGACCAAGGCAGAAAAGGCTGAAGGGAAGGCGGCAGAGGGGGAAGGGCGCACAGCCGCCTTAGGATACGGCCAGGGAGCGAAGAGGCCAAGACCCGATCGCCCGGCGCCAGGACTCACCGCGCAGCCAGCCGGCGCCCGCGTGCGTGTCCTTGAGGCGGAAGAGGCGGCGGTGCGCGGAGCTGCGGCCCACGTACCACAGCATCCACAGCAGCTGCAGCAGCATGAGCGCCGTCAGGAGGCACAGCAGGTCGCTCTTGCCCACACCCGCGGCGTGCACGGCCCAGGCCAGCAGCAGCAGCAGCCCCGCCACAAACACGTTCAGCCCGTACTGGCTGCTCAGCGCCTCCGCCAACTTCTGCGGGACGCTGGCGCGCACACCGCCCCGCCGGGTGGCTGGGGACTCCATGGACCTCGGGGACGAGGGCGAGGACGGCGGGCAGGCCGCGGGCCCCAACGACCCTTCGACCGAGGCGCTTGCAGCTGCCCGGGGCGAGGCGGGGGACCCCAGGCCCTCGAGCATCTTCGAGACACCCGCGCCAAGTCTGGTACCGGGGGTGGTCGCAGCCGGGCCCCGCCTGCGCTCCCGGCTCCTGTCCTTGCCCGGACGCCTCTGCCAACCAGCACCCCCTTTCCTTTTTCAACGCCCCTCCGATTCCCACCCCAAGCCCCTGTCAACCTGCCCTCTCTCCTGACACCTCCCGAGGCCCGCCCTCCCCTCTTCTGCCCCTTCACCCTCGGTCAAGGTACCACCCTGTCCACCTGCCCGGCGCCCCACCCCGCTGACCCGGGATTCTACGCGCTCCCTTGCCCACTGCCCCTCACTGGGCGACGCCCGGGGCAGCCCCCTGCCTACTCCGGGACCCACGCGGACAGCTCCCCACTCCTGATCCCTGGGACACAGGCCAGCCCTGCCCAGACACTCGCGCGTCCTCTTGCACCTCCGCCTGCGCCCCCGGCCCCCGCCCGCCGCCGTCTGCAGCCCTCACCCCTGCGCCGACGCCCGCCGACCCAGCCCCTGTCCCGGCGCCCTGGAAACGCTGGGTGACAACAGGTGCCTCCCAGGGTTGCGGGGGTAGGGAGAAGAGAAGGGGTCTCCCGGAGCCAGACCAAGGGGGTGTGCGCGGGGGGCGTGGCTGCTGCCAAGTGGGGCGCCCCGGGCTCTGCCCGGGCGTGCGCTGTTCTGGGCAGTCCCCGTGGGTCTCCGTTGGGGAACCCAGAGGCCCAGGTGATCCTGCCTGGGTCCGTGTCCAAGCGTCCGTCGGTCTGTCCTCGTCCCTGCGTACGTCTGTGTTGTCCTCTCTGCGCGGGTCACTCTGTGTCTGTGTTCTGGCGTATCTGGTTAGGGGTGGAGGAGCGCCCGTCACTGGCTTTCTGAATCGGGGGAGGGGCCGCCTTTTGTGGGTTTTTCTGTTTGTCTGTCTGTTGTGCCTGTGTGTCGGCTGCGAGACGCCCAGACGCGGAAGAAGACCTAAGCCACTTTCCAAGACAAGAGACCATCTCGCGCCCTCTTCCAAAGGAGCGTCAGCAGTTCTGCCCCGTGCGGGGCTGGAGTGGGGGACGCCGCGGGGTCTGCCTGGAGCCACCGGCACCCAAGCGTCTCCACCAGTCCCTTCCAAAGCCCCTGGGGTCCGCCTTACGCCCGCCCGCTCCCGGAAGGGGACTGCGTCCGCCCGGGCACCCCGCTTGGGTGCCGCTAAGTGGAAGTCTAGAAAGTTTCTGCAGAAGAGCGTCCTACGGTCTGGCGTCGCGGACTGGAGGCGCAGAATCCCAGCCGCAGGACAGGTATTCTGGGGATTGGAAGCGAGCCTGGGGCGAGCCCCCATCCCACCCCCGCGCAGCAGCCCGGGGCTGGCCCAGGAAGACACTCTCTCCCTCTTGGTTTAAGGCTCTACTCTTGCTGTTTTGAAATTCTTTCTTTGAACAAGGAGGCCTACATTTTTGTTTTGCGCTGGGCTCAGCAAATTGCAATCGCGGGTCCTGACTAGTAAAGGAGGGGTGGGGAGCCCTGGGCCGGCAGGGAGTCAACCTGGGGACCTTTCCTTGCCTCCAACATTCTTCCAAGTCATTCATTCATCCATTTGATCAACACATATTGATGCGTTGACATGAATTATTTGCTGGTCTCTGTTCTAGGCTCTGGGGTTTTAGCTATGAAAGGCTCTGCTCAGGTGGAGCTGATGTCAGCAATAGACAAACAGCTAAGGAGCCGTCACTGGGAAGCTGGGAAGCATGACCTGTGAGACTTAGCTCTCAACTTCGAGGAGCTTGGGGGTGAGGGCAGAGTAAGCAGCACAGCATCCTTGAGCTGGGCTGCAAGAAGGGGCCCGGGAGGAGCCCAGGTCTGCAGGAAGGCTGAAGGGTTCAGGGAGGAGGCAACACCTGCACACTTTTTTTCTTTCTTTCTCTTTTCTTTCTCTTACTTTCTTTCTCTTTCTTTCTTTTCTTTCTTTTTCTTTCTCCTTCCTTCCTTCCTTCCTTTCTTCCTTCCTATTTTTCTTTCTTTCTAATAGAGACAGGGTCTCCCTATGTTGCCCAGGCTGGAATGAAGTGGTATGATTATAACTCAAACTCTGGGGCTTAAGTGCTCCTCTCATCTTTGCATCCCAAATAGCTGGGACTGCAGTCTTGTACTCAAATGCCTGGCTTGTTTTTTGTTTGGTTTGGTTTGGTTTTTTTAATAATTTTTTGTAGAGACAGGGGTCTCGCTATGTTCCTCAGGTTGATCCCAAACCCCTGGGCTCAAGCGATCCTCCCACCTCAGCCTCCCAAAGCACGGGGACTACAAGGCACCAGCCACTGCATCCGGCATCCTGCACATTCTTTAGTCTTAGGAGTGGTTGGCCAGGCAGAAGGGAGCAGGGGTCGGGGAAGGCAGTCCAGAGAGAGGATCCAGAAAACCTACTAGGGACCCTCCACCTTCTCCCCTCCCCTTCCTACCAATAGATGCTGACACCAACACCCAGAGCAACCTGGAAGCCTGAGCTGAAGATGGCAGAGCCTGTCCGCCTGTCTCCCCAGTGACTGGTGAGGCAGCTTCCCTTCCTGAAGCTGGACCTTACATGCATGAGAAATAAACTTCCATTGTGCTAAGCCGCAAGTCCGAAGTGTTACAGCAGCTCGCAGTACCTTATCCCGTTCAGTACAAAGGTAAGTAACACTCCATCACTGTCTGAAAGTCAGGTGGAAAGCCTGTCTCTGAGCTACCTGCATTTCTTTTTTTTTTTTTTTTTTTTTCTTTTGAGATAAGAGTCTCACTCTGTCAGTCATGCTGGAGTACAGTGGCACAATCTCGGCTCACCGCAGCCTCCACCTCCCTGGTTCAGGCGATTCTCCTGACTCAGCCTCCTGAGTAGCTGGGATTACAGGTGCCCACCACCACACCCAGCCAGTTTTTGTATTTTCAGTAGAGATGAAGTTTCACCATGTTGGCTAGACTGGTCTCAAACTCCTGACCGGGTGATCCTCCTACCTCAGCCTCCCAAAGTATTGGGATTACAGCTGTGAGCCACCATGCCCAGCATGCATTTTTTTAAAGAAGCAATGAAATGAAAGTTTGTGGGGGCTAAAATCAGCCCCCTTTATTGTAACCTCAAGACAATGTTAAAACTAACTGAGAGCCTGTAATCCCAGCACTTTGGGAGGTTGAGGCAAATCACTTGAAGTAAGGAGTTCGAGACTAGCCTGGCCAACATGGTGAAAGCCCATCTCTGCTAAAAATACAAAAATTAGCTGGGCATGGTGGTGTCCACCTGTAATCCCAGCTACTCAGGAGACTGAGGCAGGAGAATCACTTGAACCCGGGAGGTGGAGGTTGCAGTGAGCCAAGATTGTGCCACTGCACTCCAGCCTGGATGACAGAGCAAGACTTCATCTCAGTAAATAAATAAAATTAAATTAACTGAGAGATTTACCCACAGTGTGTTCTGCCTTCTACCAATGAGATTTTTTTTTTTCAAAAGTCTGAGCCATACGCATCTGCCAATTTCTTATGACTGACCCCTGCTCCGTGTTGGGCAGATACAAGGGGTCAGAAATGATGCTCTGCTGGTGCCCAGGCCTGCTGTTTTCACCACGTTTAGCTCATCTTACGGCGGCCCACATTGTGCCCTGAGAACTGTGTGTCATGGCTCAATCAGTGTAAAAGCTGGAAATGTCCTGACCAGTCAGCTGCCTCCCAGTGCTGGTTCTGAACCACGCAGATGATGGGATTTTACAAGGTCAGAGGCCCATTGGTACACTCAGTTACTGGGGATAATAGAAGGTCCCAAGGGGCAGTTAGAACATTTTGCCCCCAGTCACCTTTGGTGGTGGCTATGTAATCCCAGTATTTTTAAGAATAAAAGAGTTAGGACCGGGTGCGTTGGCTCACGCCTGTAATCCCAGCACTTTGGGAGGCTGAGGTGGGTGGATCACGAGGTCAAGAGATCGAGACCATCCTGGTCAACATGGTGAAACCCCATCTCTAATAAAAATACAAAAAATTAGCTGGGCATGGTGGCGCATGCCTGTAGTCCCAGCTACTCAGGAGGCTGAGGCAGGAGAATTGCCTGAACCCAGGAGGCGGAGGCTGCGGTGAGCCGAGATCGCGCCATTGCACTCCGGCCTGGGTAACAAGAGCGAAACTCCATCTCAAAAAAAAAAAAAAAAAAAAGAATAAAAGAGTTAGACAGTGTTCATTTCTTAGGATGGGTATAACAAAGTGCCACTAACTGAGTGGCTTAAAAACAACCAAAGTGGGCCGGGCGCGGTGGCTCAAGCCTGTAATCCCAGCACTTTGGGAGGCCGAGGCGGGTGGATCACGAGGTCAAGAGGTCGAGACCATCCTGGTCAACATGGTGAAACCCCGTCTCTACTAAAAATACAAAAAATTAGCTGGGCATGGTGGTGCATGCCTGTAATCCCAGCTACTCAGGAGGCTGAGGCAGGAGAATTGCTTGAACCCAGGAGGCGGAGGTTGCGGTGAGCCGAGATTGCGCCATTGCACTCCAGCCTGGGTAACATGAGTGAAACTCTGTCTCAAAAAAAAAAAAAAAAAAACCACCCAAAGTGGGTTCCCCCCCAGTTCGGGAGGCCAGAAGTCCAAAATTTAGATGTCAACAAAGCCAAGTTCTCTCTGAAGCCTCCAGTGGGGGGTCCTCGCCGGCCTCTTCCGGTTTTTGCTGGCTGCTGGCAACCCTTAGCCTTCCTTGGCTTGTGGCTGTATCACTCCAATTTTGCCTCTGGTGACACTTGACCATCTTTCTTCTGTGTCTGTGTCTCTTTTCCTCTTCTTATAAAGACACCTGTCAAAATGGGTTAAGGACCCACCCCTACTCCAATGACTTCATTGTAACTTACATCTTAATTAAATCTATAAAGATTCCATTTTCAAATAGGGCCACATTCAGAGGTACCAGAACTTAGGATTTCAACAGATCTTCTGGTGAGAGAAAATTCAATCTATAACACACAAATGATAATCAAGATATGCAATTAACCTAAGCATCCATCAGTGGATGAATAGACAAAGAAAACATGTGT